TCCGTTTGGGGCACAGGGCCCGTGTTCCAACCAGCTCCGTTTGGGGCACAGGGCCCGTGTTCCCAGCTCCGTTTGGGGCACAGGGCCCGTGTTCCCAGCTCCGTTTGGGACACCAGGGCCCGTGTTCCCAGCTCTGCTGGGGGCGCTGGGGCCCCTGTTCCTGGCTCTGCTGGAGGCACCGAATCTCTGGGTCCCAGGCCTCAGGTGCCCCCCTGCCGCCGAGGCCTGGGCTGGGAGGGTGCTGTCCCGGGTCAGGTAGCACTTAGGCTCCAGGTCTTCACCCTGAGACTCACCCCCAAGCCCCCAGTCACCTACCCCAGTGGGGAGAACAGTGCCACTCAACGTCTCAGAACAGAGGCCCCAAGGACTGAGGGGCGTTTCACCTGTGACCACAGCACTGTGGGGGCCTGGTGTCACCCCTTGGGCAGACGGGAAAGCAGGCTCAGAGGAGGCTGTGTGGGCTGCAGGCCCGGGCAGCCGTGTGACCGTGTGTGGGCCTCCTCAGGTCGTGTGGGGCAGGCGGTGGCCCTGCGGGCCAAGGCCTTCGGCTTCAACGTGCTCTTCTATGACCCGTACCTCTCGGATGGCATCGAGCGGGCCCTTGGGCTGCAGCGCGTGAGCACCTTGCAGGACCTGCTCTTCCACAGCGACTGTGTGACTCTGCATTGCGGCCTCAATGAACACAACCACCACCTCATCAACGACTTTACCGTCAAGCAGGTGGGCACAGGTCGGGGGCTGCAGACAGAGCCTTCCTTCCGACTCCAGCCATGGCAGGAGGCAGCTCTGTGCAAGGTGGGGGGCAGCTGTCCCAGCCAGATCCCAGGGCCACATCTGGGGGGGCCTGATTCCCCTTTCCGGCCACCACCGGTCAGCCCTGAGCAGGACGAAGTTCGGGGTTGGCGCCACCTCTCTGCTGTCCCCTGGTGTCCAAAGCAGCTGATGACAGCTGAGGGCCTGCCTGACCCCCTTTGTGGGAGGCTCTGCACGGACACCTTCTTTTGGTTTCTGAGTTCTGTTCCAGACCCCAGAATGCTCTTTTGGTGGTCTTCCACACTTTAAATGCCAAGTTCTCACCAAGGCCTTGTCTTGCAAGCGTTGTATTTGTGAAGGGTGACAAGCAAACCTCCGGTGTCTTCTTCGGGGGCTGCGTCCACTCTTGAATGTTTACACTGTTAAGGTTAAGACTTTAAACCCACAGCTGTAAACAGTGTAGTGAAAGAGGGGCTGAAGACAGTCATGCCGCTAGGGGCAGGAGCCAGAGGGAGGGTGGCCTCCTCCAGCTCTGATCTTTCAGATGTGTATGTGTGTTCATATTTGCATATTTTTATATGCACGCACATGTTGACATGTGTGAGTGTGCATATTTGTATGCATATACAGATGCACTTGTGTGCACACATGGGTTGCGTGTGCACGTTTGTGTGTCTGCATGCACAATTGTGTGGAGGAGCTTGTGGGCACACAGTTGGCTATGTGTACATGTTTGCACCTATGTACACATCTGTGTTACATGTGAGCATGCATGTGCATGTTGTGTGTGTGTTGCCATGCCCACCTGCACGTGTGTTTACTCGTGTGTGTGTTTGTGCACTGCATACTGGGCATGCACATATTTATGCATGTTGGTGCAAATGCACACTCATTCATATGTGTGCATATGTGCGTGTTGCATACATGCATCTCCACAAGTATGTATCTGTGTGAATGTGTTCTTGTGCGTGTGTGTGCATGCATCCGTGTAGTGTGTGTGCATGCCTGTTCCTTTTGCTCCAGGCCCTTGCACACTGCATGGGAGACGAGGTAGGGTGCCTGCCACCACATTGGGCTGACAGTGGGCTAGGGACTTCATAGCAGAGTGTGGTGTGGTTGTGGCTGAGGCGGTACTGTTCCCAGGAGCTGTGGGTGTGTGATAGTGGCCAGTGAGCGCTGACGAGGATGAGCTGTCTTCCCCAGAAAGCCGTGGCTGGCAGCTCTGCTGGTGGCCTTCATAGGAACAGAAGGGCGGGCACAGAAACCCTTCCTGTGACATGAGGGCTTTTGGTATCAGACCAACTCTGAGGCCTCTAGCAAAAATAGAGGACAAACAAACGTGTTGGACTCAGACTGTTTGAGCCACACCCCAGAATTGGGGCCAGTTCTCTGAGTCATAGCATGGAGACCCTCAGAGCTCACGTTGGGGCTTCTCGCCCCTGGGGCTCCAGGGTGTGCAGTGAGGTTCCGACCCACCTAACAAGGGAAGCCCTGCGGAGGGAGACTGAGGAATGAGCGGCCCCCACCCCCATCCCCACCCCCTGGCCTGGGTGTCCATGAACCTGGACATCTGTGGGTTGAGACCCCAGCCACGGTGGCCAAGCTCTTAGCACTGGTCCACCCCAGGCTGCCCTGCAGGCACTGCATGCAGAGATGGGGGCTGGGTGCAGAGCCCGGAACAGGAACAGGAGCAGGAGCCAGTGAGGCGCTCTGGGTGGCCTGTGCCCGCTGATCTCCTCCAGCCGGGACTGTGGCAGGGCCTGGGGCCTGGCGCCTAAGCCCTTGGCAGCCCAGGGGCATTCAGTCCTGGTGTTCTTGAAAGCCAGCCAGGGGCCTTGAGTGGGAAAGGGGAGGCTGAGGGGGCTGTCCCCATGGCTGGCCCTGCCAGAAGGGCCCAGCCTGTGCTGCCCTGAACCCCTAGGGGGCGCTCTGCCACTGCCCTGTTGTGGCTGCCACCTGGGCTGGCCCTGGTGGGTCGGAGAGGACCGGGCCTGGCGAGGCGCGGGGGGAGGTTTCCTGAGGGGCACAGGACCCGTCCGAATCGCTCTTTCCTTGCATCCTGTGCTCCAGATGAGACAGGGGGCGTTCCTGGTGAACACGGCTCGAGGCGGCCTGGTGGACGAGAAGGCACTGGCGCAGGCCCTGAAGGAGGGCCGGATACGCGGCGCGGCCCTGGATGTGCACGAGTCGGAGCCCTTCAGGTGCGACCCCGGTGCTGCCCCTCCCGCTGGGGTCTCCAGGGGCCCTGCCTTGGGCCGCCAAGGGCTGAGGATGCGGCCTGCCAGGCTTCATACCCAGCCTGCTGGCCAGTCTCGGCGGTGGCCAGTGCCGTGGGTGAGGACGCCCTTCAGCCCCCTGCACCGGGCATCCTGGGAGCCAAACTGGTGGGTCTCCTGAGGTCCTTGTGGCCGCACTCCATCCTGATGCCCGCCCAGGGCAGGCCACCCTGAGCAGCCCCCGGGTGGCAGACACGCCCCAGGCATCTTGGGGCCCCTCCTTCGTCACTTAGCTCCGTAGCAGTCCGTTTCCCTGTCCATCACTTCCCGTGGGCACCAGCCCAGGGCTGGAGAGGAAGCCCCCATGAAAGAGCCGGCAGAGTCTGGAGCAGTGGGTAGCCACGGGGGGCAGCTCAGGGTCAAACGTCACAGCCCTTGGGATTGTGGAGGGTCCACCCCTTACATAGGGAGGGCCCAGGCCCACCTTATCCACCTGGGGGCTCAGGGACCCCCATCACCCTGCTGTTGGCCTCCCATGGGCAGGTTGGCATCTCATGGCCCAGACCTTGTGGTCTGCCGGCCTGCTAGGCTCAGGTCAAGTTCGGGGGGCAGGAACACTTAAAGCCAGACATGTCCCCGACCCCAG